TAAGTTAGGGACCAAGTTTTTTCCCCATTGATTTATGGCCTGCATGCAATCACGCTTGGGCCATAAATCAAAGGGGGGAAACGAGGATCTATAACTTACAGTATGGACCCAGAAGACAAGGTTAGTCAGATATTTATTACATCTCTACTGTGTGCCTGACGGGTTCAGGAACGATTTCTAGTCACGTGGAACGGCTTCAAATTTCTGACATACCTCAAAAGCAAAATGACTCAATTTGAAATCGTTGTTAAGTGACTCTTAAGTCATTAGTAGGTTTTAGTACACAATTTCAGAAGTAAAAGAAAGTTTTAAACTTTTGCATTCTACAAAAGTTAAGAGCACTTGGTGCTGAAATTTGAAATATTTTGGTAACAAAAACAGCTTTAAATTTTAGTGGACCATACAGTAGATTACAGCCCACTAAGTTGACCAATCACAGATAACTTCTAGGTATATGGAAATAGCAGAATGAAATAATTAACCAACCATGCAGAAACTGGATATTTAAACAGTAAAGATAATGGTTAAACGTTGGCATCTACAGTGTACATATAGTTAAAGTTGGATAAAATGCTGGACGTTTTGGGAAGCACAGCATTCATTAAAACCATGATTACACTATAATAGAGGTCATTCAAAAACCTCACATGTGACAAATGTACGAAGATGGAGTATAAAGTATTTCAAATTCAATTGATATTTGGGTTAAAGAGGAACCACTGTGACAATATTTTCCCAACATACCTTTTACAGGTGTGTCCATGTTATTTTCTGATGTGTGTGCTGTAACCAGTCCAAAATCACCAACTTTTACTGATCCATCCAAAGAAAAGAAAATATTGGATGGCTGTATAATCAGAAGGAAAGGAACAGCATATTTCAGTTGTTTGAAAAATTACTATAATTGCTTAAATGGGTGCATTACCAGGGCTCGACTTTCAGGAAAACACATTTGGGCCAGCTGGCCCCTAAGTTTTCAGATTTAGTCGCCAGCACAAGTAATTTAGTCACCACACATTTTCAGCCCTTCAGGCCTTGCACACTTGCATAGTCAATTTTCCTTCAGCTTGTTTACACATGTAAAAGTTGTATACCCTTTTTTCTTCTAACCAAAATCTATTACATATGCTTCACTTTCCAACAATACAAACTACAGTTTTCACAAAAATCTTAGGTATCCGTTGCAATGTTGTCAACCAACAGTGGCAACGTCAAGCTCTGATTACTTAATATCATTTATCAAACAATGCAATTATTATAAAGTTATTATTAAACATTTCTGAGTTTGATCAAAGGGACTTGATGGTTATCTTGGGATGGAAGGTGACTTATTTCCACGTGCAAGTTTGCTCTAGCTTTCTTGCAAGGATGTTCAGGTTTGCACAATTGGCAAGCAATAAAACTTGACATTAGAGAATTGTACATAAAGGCATGTCAATAAACATGAACAAATTCTCACTTCTGCCTCATGACAATAGCATTAGAACAAGATGATAATCAAGATGATAATCTTTTAATCAGGCACATCAAAAATTACACAAGGTTAGGGAGGATCCACATTTTGAAAGTATAGACAGAACATTCTGTAGATAATGACTTCCAAAGGACCTAACTTGAACATTTTATCCACACGAGCTCAGATTTGCTATAAGGAGGAACAGGGTTCCAGTGTACAATTTTCAAAAATGGTGTTATCATCGTGCTTAGTAATGATGCACATTACACAGACATTGCCCTGATTAAACTACTGTTTACCTTTAAATCTCTGTGCATAAGTCCTCTGCCATGAAAGTATTCAACAGCACAAAGAATCTGTAGTTTTATTCAAATTATGCAAAACAATTAACTCATGTTATAACTAAAGCCTGCACTGGGCAAACTTGCACAAAATGTTATCTAATATTATTATGATTGAGCAATGTTTAAAATCATGCATGCTTTATATCATAAGAAGGTCTGAGAAAAGGCAGCCAAAAAGCTGATGTGGACCTACCATATAAACTAAATATCTGTCAAACTACAAAATATTATAAACTTGTATGAGGAAGTAATATATACAAGGAAATCAAAATTAACTTTACTAAAACTTAATTAGGATGAAGTTAACTATGTTTCATTAGAATAAGAAATTAAATGAATAGAGATAACTTCATGGAAAACGTGAGCATACAATTTTCATTCACGAGTTGAGTAGTACTAGAAAACAAACAAGTGAACGCAGCAAACAAGTGAGTTTTCTGATAAGTATCAACGAGTGAATAAAAATCATACAAAGCATTTTCCATGCTGTAATGTGTTTATTTCGTAGGTACTGAGATTTTTTCGTGTAGTATTTGGTAGACAAATTGCACAAATGGGGCGATGAAAAGCATAAAAA